GGCCGCATCCAACAGATCATCTATACGAGGCAAAGGGTAGGCATTCTTCCTTGTGATTCGGTTCAAACCACGATAATCAATGCACATCCGGAGTTTGCCTCCTTTCTTCGGCACAAACAAAACAGGTGCGCCGAACTCAGACTCGCTAGGCCTAATCCATCCACGATCAATCATGTCATCAATTTGTCTCCGCAACTCCTCCAACTCGCCTTGTCCCATACGGTAGACGCAGCCCTTTGGAGGAACACTTCCCTCTATTATCTCGATTTTGTGCTTGACTGGATGCTCAGGAATTCCGCGGGGTTCAGCCAATACCTCAGGAAATCGATCTAACAGATGGCGAATGTTCGCTGGGATTTCTGGTGGAGGATCATCCTCCTCAGGGGAGAGAAAATCAGATAGGGAATTTACAGCAATTACAACCGGTTTCGAAATATTTGGTTTCGCACTAGATCGATCATTTACAGCAGAAGTAGGTGGAACGGAAGAAGAAGTAATAGAGGTAGAGTTACCTTCAGAGATAGAAAATGCAACAAAAGTAGAAGGCACATGGAAAGGCTTTACAAGAGCTATATGTACAAACCCAGCTTCCTTGCGCCTACGCACTGACCTGCAGAATTTGTTAGCACTTAGAAGAGTCACAGGGGACTCGCGCGTCTCATCTAGTAAGACGGTACGCTCGTTCCCCTTGGCATCAAGTACCACGAACTGATTGTCCGCCCACGTGGTCCTTAGGCAATGAGCCTTTAGCCAGCCCAAGCCAATGACCGCGTCGAAAGGACACTTGTCCAAAACATAGAAATTCAGCTCGTGTGTGACAGTGCGGTCTTTGTCAAAGGTGATGCGCACACCTTTGACAGCATGAGTGGAAGTGACAACCTCTTGGTTGCCCACCTGAGTCCGGCAAGGGTTCTGCAGTTCCACTTGCTTCATACCCAGGCCCGCCTTACGAATCCCGTTCAGAGAGAAGAAGTTAGTGGTCGAACCACTGTCAATCAGCACGCGAATGTATCGACGGTTAATGAGCAGTTTAAAGAAAGTCAGCTCCACGCTCCCTTGGACACGGCGTTGCTGCTTGAGCTGCAGCCAATGCTCCATGTGGGCGTGGAGGTCGACCTCTTTAGACTCCTCCCAAGGCTCAGTGTATAACACTTGGACTGTCTCAGCCTTGGGATCAGCGTTAGTTTGGGCTTCAAGAGCACGCTGCTGATCAAATCCAGGCTCCTCGGAGGGGCCTGCAACTGACTGCTCAACTTCTCTTGTTGTAGAGAGTGCTGATGACTCCTCTACGCCCCTTGCCTGTTTCCCTGAAGACGATAGCAATCCTGCACAGCATGCCCAGGCTTTGAACAATGCAAGCATACGCGCAGTTTGGACCTTCTTTCCCATTCTTTCTGGCTGATGCGGAGGGCTTTCCAAGGCTTGGTAGAAGCGTCCTCCGGTTTCTCAGGGATCTTAGCATTTTTTGGAAGGTGTAAGACAGTTCCCTTACCCGAACCACGGTTAGGCCCCTTATTTGAAGCAGTCTTTCTACATGCATTAAGTTTTTCATCATCATTTCGGTCACACTCAATGGCTGATGTGGAACAGCCCGTATCGGAGTCCGGCTCTAGATCGTCATCTAGAGGCAGATCATCCGCATAGGACTGATCGTCAGTCTCCCGATGATCATGCAGTGCGAGCTGGTTGCTGCCTCCAAACCGCTTGCATTGTGGTTTCCCACCTGCAGCGGGCGCCTTCTTGCAGGCGGCAAGGTCCTTGGCCTCTAGGTCGACTAGGTCCTTCATGAGCTCTCGCCAGGTAGCATGGTCCTTGAGTGCTAGCAGGGAGAAGTATTCTTTAGGGGCCACTCCCATGACTACATCCATGCAAGACACGTCAGTCATTCCTAGATCCGGAGTCGTGAATAAACCAGTCAGATGCTGTTCCAAAGCCTGCATGGATGACCTCCATGTTTGGCCCTTGAGGGCCTCAAGCTTCAATCTAGCCTTGAGCGCAGCATGTTTATCCTGATACCGGTCAAGGAGAAGATCCTCAAGGGTGCGAACAGGGGTGACCTTCAGCCAATTAGTCAGGTCTATGTGTGCATAGCCTGCAGCAACAGCTTGGAGCTCAATGTGGTTTCGTACGGCAGGCTCTGTATTAGTTCCCATGATCATAATTCGGTCCTCTTGCGGTGTCCGCATGACCTCGAAGTATGACCGCATGGAACTAATCCAAGAGGTGATGTCAGCCTTCCCGTCATACTTGGTCGGCAGCGTGGCCGCCCGCTTGTCCACCACGGGACCGCTATTCTGAACGCCAGCAAGGACTGTGGCGTTTTGGGCTGAAGTCCCTGCATTTGGGACTGCGATCAGTGCAGAACTACCGGTGCTGCCGCTTGAGGAGCTTGCTCCGGTTCCTGCACTTACCGCAGTTCCACTGGCCCTTGGAACGAGGGTTGTGTTGGGCTGAGAGACTGGGATTACAGCAGATCGAGGGTTAGGAGGGCGGGAGGCAGACAGCTGGGACTGTTCAAGGCTAATTACCTTAGCCTGCAGCTCTTCGTTCCGCTGCTCAAGTGTTGTCATACGAGACTCAAAGTCTTCCAAGGTCCGCAGTCGGACCAAGGCTGCTACAGCAGCAGCTAGTTCCTCCCGGAACCGGTCAGCGTTAGCTTCCGGGATCCGGAGAGCCACCTGATCAGCAATGTCGACGGCTCTAGCTGCTGCCACTGCCTCCCTTTCTCTCTGCGCGACATCATCATACAGTTTTTGAAAGAATGGTTTCTGGCTCTCATCCGCTGTATCCAGCATGGCCTGCCATTGGGCAGATGTGATGTTCGCCATGCCGGAGGAAGGGGTGTCAGTAGAATCTCAAGAGGGGTCCGCTCTCTCCTGACGTTTGGACGAACACTCCTCTTGCCCCTTCTCACACTCTCAAACAGCACACCTTCTCTCGCCCTTCCCTCCCTTTTCGCTGTCTGCGCACGCGTCTCGATATCGGACATAGATAATTCAGATAGAAAAAAAAAAAAACAGGAAACCACTCAAAGAAGAAGGTAGAACTCCTGGTCGGAACGGCGAATCATTTGGACTGAGAACGTGGCACGCAGCAGAAGAATAAACAAAAATAAATAAAACAAAACAGCAGAGAGGTCTGATTTATAGAACGGGCCCGATCAGATCAGTTGGAGATCCCCTCTTGTCTAACCTGACAGGGGACATGTCAACACAATAAATCAGACGAAGAAGACTAAGCTGCAGCGATGGAGATTTCGAGGGGTGCGGATGGTCGCCGAATCAGACGCGAGGCGGTATGTGCTAACCTGCGGTAAGGCCAGTCAAGATCACCTTGAAAGGAATGCCCTTGCTGTCCGTGTGTCCCCCCAGATGCAGCACAGCAAAGAATGCACTGATGGCAACAGATTTGGGCCCAAAAGGTCCTGTCCCGTTCAGCCTGGTCCCACTGGGTCCCGAGTGGTCCCAAGTAGGCCGTGGACCAGGACCAACGTGATAGGGGTACCAAGTCGACCCCAAACTGCCTCTACCGTGCTGAAAAGGAAAAGACAACTTTCAGCAAGAACTCACTTCTACATCCGTTCAGAAAAGAAAAGACAATGCACCGTAGAAAGATATGTCATTTAGAGTAGATACATCATCCATCCATCCATCAGGTGAGAAAGCAATCCACAAGCTCACACACACAACCAAGACCGCAGAGAAGAGGAAGAGAACCCAGCACACCCCCAACAGGCCATGAAGCACCAAGCAACCTCCCACGGGCTTTCCCCGGTCACACGGCACTTACCTGTGAAGCCCGGCCTCCAAAGATGGATAACGAGTCACTCCCCTCTCATATAAGTCCTCCTGACCCCTAGCTACCACTACACGAAGTGTCCTAGCATGACTAAGAGGGCCTTCCTACACCCTTATTGCAAAGCCGGATCCCCCGTCGATGCCTGAAGACCAAAGTAGCAACTTGCAGCAATCCGATGCAGATATGTCAGCCTCCGATCAAGTCTCCCTCTTGAGGGGAAGCCCAAAAGTCACTCAATGTCCTCCTGAAGTCCAGAATCCAGGTGCGAGTACCTCTCACTCTCTACTCCCTCTCGCTTACTCCAATCAGCCTCCTTTGTGTCTCGCCACCCCAGACATTCACTCAAGCAACCTGGTTGGGTCCAATGTCGACCCTACATGACCTAACCAGGTGGGGGCAGCATTCCCATACCTCGCTGCCCCACTTAACCCTAACTTCCCAACCCTAATCCGAGATTAGGTCAGCCCTAACCTAATTCGGAATTAGGGTTAGGGTGGTTAACACCTCTCGCCAGCAAGTAAGTCCGCTCCGATACCAATTGTTACGATCCTGGTCATTTCCCAAGTGCAAATTCACAATGAAAGACAATGCCACCCAATTGCGAAAGAAATGAAAGCACTTGCAAGAGATAAAGACCGGAGGAGAGGTAAAAAAGAAGAAGAAGAAGAAGAAGAAGAAGAAGAAGTACACCAGCAAGACCAATGACAATTCCCCCTTCTCTCTCCACCTTCCTCCTTCCTCCTTCTC